CCATTCATTCTTTCCTTTACACGGATCAGTCGTTCCTGGTCCCTTTGCAGAAAAACAGCCCCAAAGCATGATGTTTCCACCCCCATGCTTCACAGTAGGTATGGTGTTCTTTGGATGCAACTCAGCATTCTTTGTCCTCCAAACACGACGAGTTGAGTTTTTTACCAAAAAGTTCTTTTTTGGTTTCATCTGACCATATGACATTCTCCCAATCCTCTTCTGGATCATCCAAATGCACTCTAGCAAACTTCAGACGGGCCTGGACATGTACTGGCTTAAGCAGGGGGACACGTCTGGCACTGCAGGATTTGAGTCCCTGGCGGCGTAGTGTGTTACTGATGGTAGGCTTTGTTACTTTGGTCCCAGCTCTCTGCAGGTCATTCACTAGGTCCCCCCGTGTGGTTCTGGGATTTTTGCTCACCGTTCTTGTGATCATTTTGACCCCATGGGGTGAGATCTTGCGTGGAGCCCCAGATCGAGGGAGATTATCAGTGGTCTTGTATGTCTTCCATTTCCTAATAATTGCTCCCACAGTTGATTTCTTCAAACCAAGCTGCTTACCTATTGCAGATTCAGTCTTCCCAGCCTGGTGCAGGTCTACAATTTCGTTTCTGGTGTCCTTTGACAGCTCTTTGGTCTTGGCCATAGTGGAGTTTGGAGTGTGACTGTTTGAGGTTGTGGACAGGTGTCTTTTATACTGATAACAAGTTCAAACAGGTGCCATTAATACAGGTAACGAGTGGAGGACAGAGGAGCCTCTTAAAGAAGAAGTTACAGGTCTGTGAGAGCCAGAAGTCTTGCTTGTTTGTAGGTGACCAAATACTTATTTTCCACCATAATTTGCAAATAAATTCATTAAAAATCCTACAATGTGATTTTCTGGATTTTTTTTCCTCATTTTGTCTGTCATAGTTGACGTGTACCTATGATGAAAATTACAGTCCTCTCTCATCTTTTTAAGTGGGAGAACTTGCACAATTGGTGGCTGACTAAATACTTTTTTTCCCCACTGTATAAATTGAAACATTTCATATACAAATACTGAAAGCATTTAATGAGAACTAAAAAGGTGTGTAACATTAAAATATTGTCTCATTTACATTGTGTAATTTATTAACGGTCCCCAACTAGACCGGGAGATAGGCTATCCAAAGTCAAACCAACTTTGACACACCAGCTGGCTGAACCTAATTGGCGAAAGAATTTCGAAACTCTTCCCACCTGCGAACACACACGAAACACCCACATCAAACCACACACCCCGAAACCAACTCGCGTTTTAATTTATAAAAACCTGTTTTTGCTTTGTCATTATGGGGTTTTGTGAGTAGATTGCCTGTAACGTAACAACATCTGGAAAAAGTCAAGGGATCTGAATACTTTCCGAATGTACTGTAAAGCCTAATCATATAATGAATTATAGGATCTCTAAGAGTAAAACACACTGTTTTGCAGGGAATGTGAAAATCAGTATAGCAAAGCCAGCAGAGCATAAAGCCAGTGGCCTATTTCTCTGCATGTCTTATAAGACCAATGATTCAGGGTGGAAATGATTGTACACTCAAACACACAACATTGTTGTACTTTTTTTCTTCTTTATTCATAATAACCACCTGCCGATCAAGTCACCTTTTTCAGTGTAGCCTATTCTCTCTCTGGCGACAATTAAGAGCAAGTTAAAACAAAAAAATCAAGACAATTACTTAAATGATAACTCGAAAATGACATGTCAACCTCTTTACACAGACAATAAGGAAGATGAGGGCAATGCAGCATTTCTGTAAAATCAAGAGAAAATAATCATACAAAAAGGTTCATTTAGGAAAAACTCTATCCATGTACTGTATGCCACTAGTTTTAATTAGTTGGGGGAAATTACATGCAAAAACATGGATGAGTTGAACAATCACATGAGGTGATTGCGTAATCCTAAAGGTAAGTATTGTAACCAGTGAAAAGTGTGAATTGAGAGGTATGGATCAACTGCAAATTGTCTAGGGGCTCTGGGGCTGTTAGTCTGCCTATAGCCTACAAACAGGGACCTAGGAATAGGTCAATGTATCCTACCATGGACACGCCGGTATTCAATCATTTCTCTGCTGTGGTAAATCATATCGAAGTTTGATAACAGGATGTGATGGTAGTAAAAAAAAGGAAGAAAAAAAAGGCTAAATTGTCTCTAATTCATCCGGATGGGTTATGCTCAGGGAAGGTGAGAGGAGGGCCCAAAGTAGTTTCCTTTCTTTGATTTTAAAGGATTGGACAAGTGAAAGAAAGTCACCAGGTAGGTTTCCAACAAAGTAGACTGTTGGAAGATCCAATGAGACAGAGAATGGACAAATGAGTTAAACCCAGATGTCCCAATATTGCATCAGTCTGCACACTGATTGACAAGTGAGAGTACTCTATAAAAAGTTAACTTCTCACACCGATATCCCTGAACCTTTACCCCTCCCCCCATCTCCCCTTAAGCCCTACTGATTGATAGACAGATCTCGCCCCAACAGACTTTGCAGAAATAATATTGTACATTATGATCAATTGCCATTGACCATAGACAAAAGTGATTGAACAAAGACTGAAAAAATATAAATCATTTTGCATTCAAGTGATTGATATAGAAGGTTTAAGCCAGCAGCTTGCCTTTCAACTGACCAATGCTATGCGTTTTAAAGTGTAGTAGCTAGCTCTTAGTTGCTTCATAGTTGTGGATTCTCAGAAAGCATTTAAAAAACAACAAGCTCTTTAACAGTATAAGAAACAGAAATTACTTTGGAAAAAATGTTTTAAAAAGGGTGAATTTCTTCAAATGCTACCGATGAAAAGGCACAACAAAAGGTCCTGAGGTACAGTACAGCAGCCATCAAAACCATTTGGCGTTGCAAACAAGCTAAACAAATCACAGTAAGTGCTGCCTTAACCGAATCTCTCTCGACGCAATTATGCCACAACACCGCCATTTGCCCGCATAATTGCTACCGCCCTCATGGTCGCGTTCCAGGCCGACTACATTGCAGTCGTGCTGCACGCAGCAACCAACAACCAACTTAGCAGTTGGCCATAAGATTGCTACATCATATGATGAAGTTCGCTGTATGTTATAAACCTATCCAGGCATTGTGAGATCTGGCAGGCAACCGCAATGTAGTCAGTCTGGAACGCGGCCAAAGTCTTGTCCTTGTGATCTGAAAGGCCCATTGGTCAGTGGCAGCGAACTAATCCAAAGTAGGCCCCAAGTTCACTTGTTCATGCAGCAATAGAGCGCTTTTACAAGGCCATTAAGTCACAGAAAGAGATTTGTCGTGTTCCAGGCTGCCTATATTGCAGTCGTGCTGCTCATATCGACCAATGGTTCTGTGTCATGTCTTTCATATTGCTAGATCATCTCATGCAGTAAGTCGATATGTTTAACACCTATCCAGGTGTTGTGAAATCTGGCTACTGGAATGTAGTCAGCCTGGAACAAGGCCATAAACTTACGTACAGTGATAACAAAGACCAAAAGCGGTGTGGCTTGGAGCCGTCTTGTCGCAAAACTGAGAGACAAAAGTTGAGAGATGAAGTGACTGACCGTATGAATAGCTGTCAGAAGTGGGCTCAAATCAAATTTAAGCACCTTTTAACACAGCCCAGCAATGGGACTGGCTTCTCCTGGCTTGTGGTCTTAAGCCCCAGTAATGATCCCAGATCGGTTCACGCCACAGCCGTAGGAGTGGGCAAGAGAGCACAAATAGATCTGGGACCAGTCTATTGATGGTGTGCATGTGCGGTTTAAATCAATTTAAAACATAGGAAGACTGTATGAAAATGTTTTGTATGGCGACAATGAAAAATTGATCTTTGCTTTAAGTCTGCATATAAAAGTGACTTATCTGACCACAAGTCCGATTATTAAAAATAATTAAACAACTCTAAAATCGGCTGATAAAGGTTTGAGCTTTCGTGTTTAATACAGATAGACCTTTATGGTGTTTTAGGATTCAACATATTACATTCTACAAAATCAAGCTACATCCAGCTTGATATTAGACTTGTCTACACCGAATTAGGTTATAAAAAGAAACAGCATATTTCTGTTGCCCTGACACACTTGACCAGTGCTGTTTGTGTGTAAACAACAGTATCCACTACAATGATATGGTTAACGCTTCCGCTTGATTCAGCACTGAATAGCAGCTTTCATGAGTTCAGTCACCGAAGAAAAGAGAAGTGTGGCATCCTCCATTTAGGACGATCAGCACGTTGAATCCAAAATAATTCTTTTAAAAACAGAAAAGGAAGAAATCCACATAAAATGCTTCGAATGCTCTGCATGTAAAAAGTCAATTTTACTCTGACCACGTTCTTAGCAAACCCCAAAGATAAATGACAAGTTTTGTTCTAAACCATGCTGCACATTTTTAAATACAATGGCCAGCTGTCCCTTTTTGATACTGTGGCTGACATTGTTATCCCCCCTGAACCACTCCCTGAATTGACAAAAATGTGCAACAAAAAAGGAAAAAATCCAGAGAGTAAGTTGGAACGACATGATTCAAATAAAATAAAAAAAGGAAATAGAAAAAAAGTAATGAAATTCAGGGTTTGATATATATATAAAAAATGTTGTTGTTTTTTTAAGACGCTTCAGCACCTGGATAGAGTAGAGAAGTTTGGCACTTTTTATTAGAGTCCATACGAAACATGATGTGGCTTTCCCCGACAAAGATGAACGCTGATCGTGGACCGCAATTTAACCATGAGGGTTTACAGGACGGGGTTGAGTGGGAGGGAGGTGAAGGGGGGGGGGGGGGGGGGGGTCAGGGACCATATTCACAAAGAGCCTCACCGTTGGAGTGCTGATCTAGAATCAGGTCCCTCCTATCCATATGATCTTATTCATTTTGATCTAAGAGGAAAAACGTATCCTAGATCAGAACTCCTACTCTGAGACACTTTATGAATACGATGACTACGAGCCCAGATTTCACATTTGGGGTGGGGGACCTGTTCCTAGATCAGATGATGCTGTTGGTGCCCCGGAGGCCAACGCCGCGGGCAAACTGCTCCAGAAGGCCTGTGATGGCGCCGGAGGGGCTGGGCGCGCTGGACTTCAGGCCCACGGTGGAGCTGTAGGCTGCCAGGAACACCTCCCTCACCGCCTCCAGACGAGCCTGACGCTCCGAGGGGGACGGGCACCTGGGAGAGAGAGGGAGGGGGAAGGAAAGAAAGAGATGGGGAAAGAGAGTAAACAAGTTAGAGAGGAGGGGAGAGTGAAGTCAGGGAAGAGGGAAGACAAGATGAAAATAAAGAAAAGGTCAGGGTATGGGCGAGAGAAGAGGCGCTCCATCTTTTAGTTATGAAAGAGGGACACAGTGTACTTCTAGTCTTAACAATCGCAGACTGCATGCTTCCTCCTCTATTCCTCCTTCTCTCTTCCCCCTCTCCCTCCCTTCAAATCAAGAAAGATAGATGTAATTTGCCCATGCCGCCTTGTTCTCGGGACACACTCAATTTGGCAGCCAGATCAAGCCGAAATGGAAATGTGTCCCCCACTGCGAAGAGAGGGAGTCTGGAGAACAAAAAGAGATGAATGATAAAGAAACTCCTTCCACTCTTTCAGTTCTACTTATACCTCCGGTTCGCAGGGGACAGAGAATGATGAAGCAAATGTTCCATACCCTAGTCTGACGCAACCCCACCCACTAGGTACTGCAGGGCAGACACAGCACGCGCACACACAGAGAGCGAGAGCTCAGGCCATCAGTGTGTATATGAAGTCTTCCTAAACAGTCTGCTGAACACTGTTGTGCAAGTGTAGACACACACAGACACACCAGGTACCCACGCACACATCCTCCCCAACAGACGCTTTCTCCGCTTTGTCACTCAAACACACACCAACTCTATCCAACCCTGTAGGTGTGTGACACCCGCCCAACAGGAGGCCCAGCCCCCGTCCACTGAGCCCTGCCACTTCCTCCTCTCTCACAAAGGAAAGGAATGGGGGAGAGAAAGGAGGTGAATAGGGAGAAAGATATTCCGGAGGGTTAGAGATGTGCGTGGCTGTGTTCCGATTCTCTCCCACTATGCCGAAGGGTACACTCGTACATTCCCCCTCGTGGATTTAAAAGGAATATACTGGTGTGAGGAATATGGTGATAACTCCCTCCAGCCATGCTTGCACCAATCCAATGCACGAGGGTGGGTGAACGATTGCACACTTCCGGGGAAAGGTCGAGAATCGGAATGCGATCTGTGTGTGAGTCCCAAATGGCACCCTAATTCCCTATATAGCCCACCTAACACTGGTCAAAAGTAGTGCACAACATAGGGGAATCGGGTGCCATTTTGTGACACAGCCCGTAGACTCACATGCGTCCGCTGGGCCCCTCGTCCTGGAAGCTAAAGGGGAGCGGCGAGTCGTTGGCGGCGGCGGCCATGGCGGCGGCGACCTGTCCGTGGTCGTGGATGGAGCCGCACCCCGACACGATCTGCCAGCTGCCGTAGTCCGTGGAGAGGGAGGAGCCGGAGCGGGCGTACTCTGCCGCCAGCCTGGCCAGAGTAGAGAGAGGAGGTGGAGAGAGAAGGTGGGGGGGGTGGAGGGGGGAGGTGGAATGATAGGGGGAGAGAGTGGGAGACAGGAGACGGGATGTGCAGAGAGAGAAAGAGGGAAAGATGGAGAGAGCGGGGAATACAGCGAATAGAGAGAGAAGGAGAGGGGAAAGTGAACGAGCCAAAGGAGAGAGGGGAAAAGAGAGAGAGGGAAAAATAAGGAAATTAAATTGGGAGAGAGGAGAAGAGTGAGAGAGAGTCCAGCAGTGAGCTGTGAGGTCAGTGGGGGGGCTTCACGGCTCGGGGTCGGGACCTCAGTGGCAAAAGTCAAATGCAACGGTCAATGGACAACACTCACGTCAATCCAATACGACTGTATTAATCCCCTCAGGGGGAATTAACAAGGCAAGTCAACATGCATAAAAACGTCACATGGACATTACACATAACGCATACCCCAATGTTAGTGGAATGACAATGAATGGAGTTTGAACCAAATACCAAAACACACACACGCACCTTCCATTTTCATGCAAATTGAAAACGAACAAGGAGCTCTGGAGTAAGAGAAGCTGTACTAATAGACCGGTGAGACACACACACACACACACACACACACACACACACAGAGACACACACACACACACACACACACACACACACACACACACACACACACACACACAGGGCTGTTACGGTGACCGTATTACCGCCACACCGGCAGTCACGCGTCATGACGGCAGTCAAATTCCATGTGACCGTTTAGTCAGGGTAATTAGGCTTCTCCAAGCTCTGATGCTGCTGATGGTCATTAGTATCCTACCAAACGTGCTAACTGCCTGGTACTCAGCACTCTATTGTCACTCTAATAAGGTTTGTATCACAACTAAAGTGGCCAAATAACGTCTTAAAATTAAGTACATTAATCCGCTTTATAACCGGTGTAGAGCCTAACTGGCATACATAGGCTGCGTGTGAGTTTCAAGTTTGGGGCAGATAATTTTCACCATAAAAATGCACCTTTATAATAGGGGGCATTACGGCCACACAAGGGGCATGCCGCCGGGAAATTCGAGACCTGGTGAGAATATTATGTGCAGCTTGCGACTTTTTTCAAATCCTCATTAGAGTCCAATCATGCAGCCTTAGAATGTATTAAACATCAAAACATATAGCCCAACGTTTGTATCACAACTAAAGTTGCATAAATAACTCTAAATTAAGCATATAGGAGGACCGGTTTCTTTGTTAACTGCTCCACACAGAATAGCAGCATGTGCGCACTTCAATTGAAATCGTATTGAGAAAATATACTTTCTATTTTATTAAGCTATGTTTAATTGTATTCTTCATACTATAAAATTCTAAAAAAATAATGCCACGGAATTCTAAGTAAATCTTGTCTGCTAAATTAACTAGCGTAGCCCACAGCCATTTGGCATAGCCAGATCAGGACCTAACATACGGACAACGCATTATGCTATTCTGTTCTTCTGAAAGACTACATTTTCTTCATATCATGTTTGTTTAGAACAGTCTAAAATAAATAATGGATTTATTGTGACAGTGTAGGCTATATTACATGGATTTATTAGACTTTTTTAAATGTAGATGTTCCAAAGGTCAGCATCAGTGGCTTGTAGGCTATGCGTGGAAGCCAGGAGATGCGAAACGTGTTAATGCAAATTAACGGTCAATTACAGCGAGACCGGCAGTTATTTCAATCAACGGCTGACAAAATATAATGACCGCCACAGCCCTAGTCACACACACACACACACACACACACAGAGACACACAACCGTAAGTATCCAGAACTCCTCTTTACAGAGAAGGGTGTTATCAAGCAGTTCTGTGAGACCAACCGTCACACACACACACACACACACACACTACTGAAGAGCTAGAATGCAGGTCTGCTCTGTCACACCATTAGAAAACACAGCCTCAGCACAATGTCTCAGCAGGGGATGCGTGTTTGTGCTCGAGTGTGTTATCCCTTACAAAACAAGACGAAAACCTGTCAACTTCTGCATTTTTTATTTTTTTTTAAAGGTGTTGCCAGTATCAAAGACTAAACATTTATTTCCTTCAACTGACCTAGTCATGTTCATGCTGGAAAGTTCTGCCTAGGGCTTGTAGCCGTAATACTGAGGTGGCATTGGCACGCATTAAATCATTAACATTCTACTGTTGTCCGACATCAATCTTGTCCTTGTCAATCACAAAGCTTCACAGAAATGCTTTTAATGGATTTATTCTCTCCATTTAAATGTGTGTAGATCGGTCCTTGAGCAGTTATTGTCTATTGTCACAGAAATGCTTTGGCATTTACACTACCAGTCAATAGTTTGGACACACCTACTCATTCAAGGGTTTTTCTTTCTTTCTTTTTTATTTTTTACATTGTAGAATAATAGTGAAGACATCAAAACTATGAAATAACACGTATGGAATCATGTAGTAACCAAAAAAAAGTGTTAAACAAATCAAAATGTATTTTCTATTTGAGATTCTTCAAATAGCCACCCTTTGCCTTGATGACAGCATTGCACACTATTGGCATTCTCTCAACCAGCTTCACGAGGAGGTCACCTGGAATGCATTTCAATTAACAGGTGTGCCTTCTTAAAAGTTAATTTGTGGAATTTCTTTCCTTCTTAATGCGTTTGAGACAATCAGTTGTGTTGTGATAAGGTAGAGGGGGTATACAGAATTAAGCCCTATTTGGTAAATGACTAAGTCCATATTATGGCAAGAACAGCTCAAATAAGTAAAGAGAAACGACAGTCCATCATTACTTTAAGACATGAAGGTCAGTCAATACAGAACATTTCAAGACTTTGAAAGTGCAGTCACAAAAACCATCAAGCGCTATGATGAAACTGGCTCTCATGAGGACCACCACAGGAATGGAAGACCCAGAGTTACCTCTGCTGCAGAGGATAAGTTCATTAGAGAGTTACCAGCCTCAGAAATTACAGCCCAAATAAATGCTTCACAGAGTTCAAGTCACAGACACATCTCAACATCAACTGTTCAGAGGGGACTGTTTGAATCAGGCCTTCATGGTCGAATTTCTGCAAAGAAACCACTACTAAAGGACAGCAATAAGAAGAAGAGACCTGGTTGGGCCAAGAAACACTACCAATGGACATTAGACAGGTGGAAATGTGTCCTTTGGTCTGGAGTCCAAATTGGAGATTTTTGGTTCCAACCGCCGTGTCTTTGTGAGACGCCGTGTGGGTGAACAGATTATCTCCACATATGTAGTTCCCACCGTAAAGCATGGAGAAGGTGGTGTTATGGTGTGGGGGTGCTTTGCTGGTGACACTGTCTGTGATTTATTTAGAATTCAAGGCACACTTAACCAGCATGGCTACCACAGCATTCTGCAGCGACACGCCATCCCATCTGGTTTGGGCTTAGTGGGACTATCATTTGTTTTTCAACAGGACAATGACCCAACACACCTCCAGGCTGTGTAAGGGCTATTTTACCAAGAAGGAGAGTGATGGAGTGCTGCATCAGATGACCTGGCCTCCACAACCCCCCGACCTCAACCCAATTGAGATGGTTTGGGATGAGTCGGACGGCAGAGTGAAGGAAAAGCAGCCAACAAGTGCTAAGCATATGTGGGAACTCCTTCAAGACTGTTGGAAAAGCATTCCAGGTGATGCTGGTTGAGAGAATGCCAAGAGTGTGCAAAGCTGTCATCAAGGCAAAGGGTGGCTATTTGAAGAATCTCAAATAGAAAATATATTTTGATTTGTTTAACACTTTTTTGGATACTACATGATTCCATGTGTTATTTCATAGTTTTGATGTCTTCACTATTATTCTACAATGTAGAAAATAGTAAAAATAAAGAAAAACCCTTGAATGAGTAGGTGTTTCCAAACTTTTGACTGGTACTGTAGCTTGGGGGAATCTTTTCATATTTTTTTCTTGACGTTGAAAGGGTTAATATTTATATTCCCTTATATTTAGCTAATAAATTATGGGTTTCTAACTTAGCCTACTAGCAATTTGTAGTTTCTGTCTTTAGCCAAAATAACTGGTGAGGAGTTCGAAAGGAGAGAAAGCACGCGCGTGATGGTGTGATCACATCCAACGTGGATCAAATAAAGGCAATTTTCTCAAATAATTCTGCTGAGGTTAATCCAGGTCAGATTTTTTATTTCTTTACATGATCAGAAAGAGCAGAATCTAGTGTTTTCTAGCTACATAAAAAACAAATGAGGAAATCTGCAACAACAACAAAAATATTCTAAATACAACTGTTATATGACAGCGGTTCCGTGACATTGCCATGGACCTCACGATATTATCACGATACTATGGTGCCGACACGATATGTATTGCAATTCTCACGATTCTTTATGTATTGCGATTCGATACTGTGATTTTATTGCAATTCGATGTTCCAAACATATTGCTCACCATATGTCTGCTGAAGAGGGACGAGAGAGCCATGAGTTTTGATCAGTCATGGAAATAAAAGTGCTGAAAACAAATTGTTTCCTGGAGTTTTGGTGCAGGTACAGCCAACGAGCGCTAAAATAATATTGAGATATTGTCAAAATGATACTGTATCGATTTTTTTCCCCCATCACTATTATATTCCATTATATTAATTCTTACTATAAAATATAACTGGGTTGACTGTGATCAAGGCAGGGGAATGTATACTGAACAAAAATATAAATGCAACATTTAAAAAGTGTCCCATGTTTTGTGGGGAAAAACTCATTCTGATTGGCTGGGCCTGGCTCCCCAGTGGATGGGCCTATGCCCTCCCAGGCCCACCCATGGCTGCGCCCCTGCCCAGTCATGTGAAATCCATAGATTTGGGCCTAATTTATTTAAATTGACTGATTTCCTTATATGAACTGTAAATCAGTAAAATCGTTGAAATTGTTGCATGTTGCGTTTATATTTTTGTTCAGTATAAGTCTTGAACTAAGAACTAGTGATTTAATTTGCATGGTGCTGCCATGTAGCCTATAAGCTGCACGGACCAGTAACATAATTAAACTCAAAATATACTATTCTATTCTTTTGAAAATAAATTACCATAAAGTATGTCTGTAAAGGGTATGTGTGTCACTGCAGACAGTCATACACTTGGTTAGATGTTTTAATTTAACATGCAGTTATTCACCTTTCATTGCAGAATGGCAAACATGTAACAGACAGATGCAGTATGCAGTCAATCCATTTACAAAGACAGAAAGAGGGGGCAGACGGACAGATAGAAACGTGGCGTCCCTCTCATCATCGTGGTCGGAGCCCATCAACTGCGACCGACTGTGCTTGAGGTTGTTCTAGCAATTAACGCCACCTGCTGCAAACATACACAGAATCCCGACCCCACCGCTGTTCTATCTCTCCCTTCCTCTGTTCACTCATTACTTTCATACTATCCCCCATCTGAATAAACAGAAAATACAGAATATACATCTTTCAAAACAAAATCTGCGACTGACTTTTAAGTGGACGTTTACCTTCTCCCGGGCACAGACATAGGACTGCTGCCGGCTCGTGTGAAGCCCTGCTCCGATTGGTTGGAGGAGGATGAGCTGGAAGACTTGGCCTCTTGGCTGAGGGGGTGGGCCAGCCGCTCGGGCAGGGGGTCGGGACGGTTCCACAGCACCGTCTGGGGGGACGAGGTGTGTCCCTTCCTCCTGGGGGGGCCACAAAAAAGGAGAGTTAAATTTGGCTTTAGCGAAACCTTATTTTAAGGCAGGTTGGTCCTCTGTGGCTCAGTTGGTAAGAGCATAGAGCTAGCAATGCCAGGGCAATGGGTTTGATTCCATTCTAAGACAAGGCACTCTCCATAGAACCATACTGGACTTTATTAGGTTAAAGAGCAACTGCCCCTAAAAACCAACTTCTCATTTAGAAAACAGCCTGTGGCATCAATAGGAGTCAGAAACACATATTCTACTGTCAGAATTGACTAGAAAGTGTAAATAGGATAATTTTGGTCATAAAGTCAGTCTCGTCCGAAACGTTAATTAAGGTTGGGTTTGTTTCAATCCTGTCCACATGCCCACAGCTGGCAGCACAAAAGTAATCATCAATTCGGAGTGCAGCTGCCGTAGTGAATTTGGGTTTACTTTCAATATCCCTATGGGGCTAGTTAGAGACCATTGGTAAACTATACAATGTACATGGGAAAATATATTACATTTCCAATAGCTCCAAATGTCAATAACTTAACCCCTTACACTTGTGGGAACTGGCCTATATGGATAGGGCTAAATTGAAATGTTTCTTCCAGAAGAAATATGAAAAGCATAACCATGGTATCAATTGAAAGGGAACAGTTTGGAGATTATGGGAAAATGATTAGACCAAAGGTGAGGACACAACAGTTCATCTGACACAAGACTGAATCCAAACATCACTGTTTATTTTATGTGCATTTTACATTTACTGTACTTTTTGCCACATTTGTTGGTAAAGAAATCTGAAAATACTCTGGATACATTCAGTAACATAAGAATATTCTTGGGAAATGTGGGGTAGGTGCATAAGACAAAGAAATGACAAGGGTTTGAGTGAGAGGACACACTGGTGTCTCCAAGTGGCCACACACCTCTCCAAAGTGTGCACAGTTCCTAAGCAATTTTAATGCACTTTTATAGTCTTCAACTAGAAGGTGCTTTTTTGAGCTCTCCTAGCTGTGCCGTTAAGGAACTAGAGCAAGCACACTTGTAGTTGTTTTGCTTGGAATATAGCCCTGCATCCCCGCCTTTACACAACTACTGTTGTTGTTTACGCAATCCAAAAAATTTTCATTATATATCGCAATCTGGGTCAGGTGGGCATGATTTGAAAGCTTGTTCTATTGCCAACATGACTAGCTAAATTATAAAATACGATCGTACAGTGTTAGGCTTTAACAATGCATTTCAGAGAAGCAGATAGTAATTTTGGTGTGCAAAGAATGGAGTCATGAGTGCATTCAGATGCGTGGTATGCAGCAAAAGAAAAATCACAATACAACAAACATAGGCTCATTCTGTTCAGGACAATATGTCATATTGTAACTACACCCTGAGCTCTGACGTCATGTATAGTATGTTATCTGCCATTTTCAACCCGTATATGCGTATGAGTGTAAATGGCTACAAACCTCAAACCAACTATAAATTGTAGAAATGTCATATTGAAAGCATTTAATGAGAAAACTAAAAAGGTGTGCAACATGAAAATAGTGTCTAATTTACATTGTCTAATTTATTGACGGTCCCTAACTAGCCCCGGAAATAGGCTATCCAAAGTCAAACCAACTTTGCCCCGGTCGCACACCAGCTGGCTGAAGCTAATTGGCTAAATAATTTGGCTAACTCTTCCCACCTGCGAACACACACGAGACCCTCACATCAAACCACACCTTGAAACCAACTCAAGTTTGAATTCAGTCATGGCCGCTAGCATTTCTTAACGAACCAATCTAAAATGAGGCCAAATCAGGAACTGCAGTCGCCCTTTAAAGGAATACACGTCCATGTGACATCCCTGATACAGAAGGGATGTATACAAAAATTTTAGGAAATGCTTTGGCCGGGTCACACTGATTTCCAGAGAAAAGGCGAGGACTCACCAGCTGGAGGCTCCCAGATACTGGCCGGAGAACAGGTCCACGGCCTCATTGGTGAGGCTGGAGGCTCCGCCCGCGTCCTCCGTGATCAGAGAGAAGTCACTGCTCAAACTGGTCACGCTGCCCCTGGACTCCCTGGACTCTGCACCAATCACACGGGAGACATTGGTTAGCGGACAGGCCCTTCGACCAATCACAGAGGAGAGATTTGAGGACAATTATAGGCCACAGATTCATTAAAAACATGATGGAAGTTCGGTTGCCTTGTTGTTCAATTTTGCCTGGAATGTTGGCTATTGTTGGTTTATATGCATGTATGATATTACTTATTATTATTTATTAAACTTCTATAGCCCTTCTATTACAAAAATAATCTCAAACCGCTTGAAAAAGCAAAACAAACAAGAATCAAATACAACAGCTGTATGATAGAGTAGGTCTGGATTACAATTTTCAGCCAAAGTTGAAAGTTGAGTGTTTTAACCCTCCAACAGATGGAGCGATAGTCAAGAGGGAACATCATTGCTTTTGCAGAGGGAGGATGTGGTCAACGGGAGGAGATGAGCAGGTCATAATCAATTTCGTATTTCATGAAACCACACAAATTCTTAGCTTTAGGCAAACAATAGCCTATAATAAGCCTTTTGCCAGATACAGTACATAGACAATATCCATGTCCGTTTAGCCTTCTGCGTTCAAAGCGTTGTGCATCATGTTGAGGGGACAAGACATAACAGCGCATCACGTTACATCAGAAGTGTAGCGCACAGAGGGAATTCATAAAAAGGGCATATGCCGCTATTTGCAGCTTTTCAAAAGTTTCTTCACAACTTATCATGAGTGCAATGTATCACATACACTTACATGAAACGCCTACATCAGAACTGTAGCGAACAACAGGAACTCTTACAGGGTGTGTTTTTTATGTCTTAACATACCACCACTGCACTCACAATGTATGAAATACAACTCTATCCTCATGTAACATACAGTGGGGAAAAAAAGTATTTAGTCAGCCACCAATTGTGCAAGTTCTCCCACTTAAAAAGATGAGAGAGGCCTGTAATTTTCATCATAGGTACACGTCAACTATGACAGACAAATTGAGAAATAAAAATCCAGAAAATCACATTGTAGGATTTTTAATGAATTTATTTGCAAATTATGGTGGAAAATAAGTATTTGGTCACCTACAAACAAGCAAGATTTCTGGCTCTCACAGACCTGTAACTTCTTCTTTAAGAGGCTCCTCTGTCCTCCACTCGTTACCTGTATTAATGGCACCTGTTTGAACTTGTTATCAGTATAAAAGACACCTGTCCACAACCTCAAACAGTCACACTCCAAACTCCACTATGGCCAAGACCAAAGAGCTGTCAAAGGACACCAGAAACAAAATTGTAGACCTGCACCAGGCTGGGAAGACTGAATCTGCAATAGGTAAGCAGCTTGGTTTGAAGAAATCAACTGTGGGAGCAATTATTAGGAAATGGAAGACATACAAGACCACTGATAATCTCCCTCGATCTGGGGCTCCACGCAAGATCTCACCCCGTGGGGTCAAAATGATCACAAGAACGGTGAGCAAAAATCCCAGAACCACACGGGGGGACCTAGTGAATGACCTGCAGAGAGCTGGGACCAAAGTAACAAAGCCTACCATCAGTAACACACTACGCCTCCAGGGACTCAAATCCTGCAGTGCAGACGTGTCCCCCTGCTTAAGCCAGTACATGTCCAGGCCCGTCTGAAGTTTGCTAGAGTGCATTTGGATGATCCAGAAGAGGATTGGGAGAATGTCATATGTCATATGGTCAGATGAAACCAAAATAGAACTTGTCGTGTTTGGAGGACAAAGAATGATGAGTTGCATCCAAAGAACACCATACCTACTGTGAAGCATGGGGGTGGAAACATCAAGCTTTGGGGCTGTTTTTCTGCAAAGGGACCAGGACGACTGATCCGTGTAAAGGAAAGAATGAATGGGGCCATGTATCATGTGATTTTGAGTGAAAACCTCCTTCCATCAGCAAGGGCATTGAAGATGAAACGTGGCTGGGTCTTTCAGCATGACAATGATCCCAAACACACCGCCCGGGCAACGAAGGAGTGGCTTCGTAAGAAGCATTTCAAGGTCCTGGAGTGGCCTAGCCAGTCTCCAGATCTCAACCCCATAGAAAATCTTTGGAGGGAGTTGAAAGTCCGTGTTGCCCAGCGACAGCCCCAAAACATCACTGCTCTAGAGGAGATCTGCATGGAGGAATGGGCCAAAATACCAGCAACAGTGTGTGAAAACCTTGTGAAGACTTACAGAAAACGTTTGACCTGTGTCATTGCCAACAAAGGGTATATAACAAAGTATTGAGAAACTTTTGTTATTGACCAAATACTTATTTTCCACCATAATTTCATAAAAAATCCTACAATGTGATTTTCTGGATTTTTTTTCCTCATTTTGTCTGTCATAGTTGACGTGTACCTATGATGAAAATTACAGGCCTCTCTCATCTTTTTAAGTGGGAGAACTTGCACAATTGGTGGCTGACTAAATACTTTTTTTCCCCACTGTATACTTAATAATGAACTATGTAAAGCTATCCTTACTGTGCCATACGTCCTCATTAGTAGCTATACTAATTAGTCGATCACGTGTAGGTTTGTTTAATGAGCAAAATATACTTCCCATAGGCTTTCATGTACATGTAGGTACTGTGATGTCATATCAAATATTATAAGGTTAAGTGTAGCGAATGTCTCCAGGGAGCAACTTACTCAACTGGCAGAGGTCATCCACTGTGAAATCAGTGTCTTTGAAATGAGAGTTTTTCCTCCTGTGGAAGCGAAAGGGATGATGTAATAATACACAGAAAGACAGGAAGAAGAGAGAGACCGACACACTGCTCAAAAAGAAAGAGAGATCAAATAATACAGAAATTGGGAAAAAAAACACTGTTTGGTCACAGTCGGTTTTCGACCATGAAAGAACAGTGTTATTGCCCTGAGCGGCTGTACGCTTATAACTCTACAGTTGAAACATTTTTTAAAAAAGAGTGGCTTAAGGGCATAGCACGGTGAGTGTAAGGCCCAAATGGCACCCTATTTCCTATATAGTCCACTGCTTTTGACCACGGCCTATAGGGCTCTGGTCAAAAGTAGTGCACTATATTGGGAATAGGGTGCCATTTTGGGGGCGCACAATGTTTTATAAAAGTGCTTTTACATTTCAAATCATCTCCGTTGTTTCATGACATTTCACTCACCTCTGTTTCTTCATGGCAGAGAACTTCTCTGAGACAATGTGCTTCAAAAAATTGAAGCAAAAAAAGAAAATCTGCCGGGAGGAATAAAAGATGAAGTTTAGTCTTAGAGGTGTAAAAAAAAATATATGGAAATTAAATACATGACAAAATGCTGGCCCCTAGTTTTCAAAAATACCCCAAACAACTCACTTTAGTTGAGAATTGGATATCAGTTTCAGAAATAAATCAGACAACATGTTTCTCTTATCTTTAAGAGCCATTATATCTACATAGGTGTAGTAAATTCCTAAAACGAATTCAAGATGGCAACAGTGCTAGAACTTTCTTGAGGGCAATAACCATATTAACTAAAATGAAAAGTAATAATCAATGTTTGAATATTCCACACACACACAGAAGTCATGGCGTTGGTATTGTGTTAGAGTACCACTGACCTCCTCTCCTTTGGTGAGGCGATCAGGCAGCATATGACTGTAGAAGAGACACACAAACCAGATCAACGAGTATGATCACCGAATCCATTAAACAAATCAAAGAACACTTTATTACATATGATTATTAGCCTCCAACACCAACCAACCTATTTAAATGTCCAACGCAGCCGTTTTTATCTCAATAACAAAACATTTCTGGGTATCAATTAAGTACCTTACTTTGACGGTTTTCAATTTAAAAAAATATATATATAAGAAAATAAAATAGCTTCTTAGCTAATAGCAATTTCTCAAGTAAGAATTTAGCTAGGACTGTCTGGGAGTGGTCTGAGTAGGGAGGGGAAAACTGAAAATTAGCTGTTATTGGCAGAGAGGTTTGGAACTCTTTCTTCTTGGTCTATTAACTAATTTACCGCCTGGTGATGTCATCATGCAGGCCAAAACTCCACCCCACCAAAACAGGCTGAAATTTCAGGCGGTCTTTTCACACAGCTCTTAAACTAAAAAGGGCATTATCATAATTTTCACAATTGTACAGTCTTCCAACCTCATAGTGTGGAAATATATATCAAACACAGGACAATCACATCTTTGACTGCACTGGGCCTTTAATACTTTCTCAATGTTTGTTCCTTTCTATTCAGCATACAGTTCTCTCCATGCACCTGGTGTTACCTGGTACAATGGTTACAATGTAGGTGTGCAAGTCTTACTTTCCAATTTATATACTTGTTCAATCAAACAGTATAAATCTCACGACTCAAGATCAAAAGTCAAGAAGACCGCAAAGCACAAATAGGGGAAATTTTAGACCTTGTAGTTTACAAAATAAAAATATACCAATAACCAACTGACCCATCGTCACTCATTTTATCTCTTACCTCCAGCTTAGAACCTGAATGGACCATTAGGTTTGCTTTTACATTTAAAGGTGAAACAACAAATGAACAAACTCTCAATGGGAGTTTAAGCCATACTGAAAGATTACACAAATCAATGCATACCGCCGCATCATAATACTGATAGCTGGTAAAAATGCCCAATTATTACGGATATTATTAAAAGGCAGAGGTTCGGTGTGTGTGTGACTCCCAGTTCATCCCTCTTCCCTGGCCGTAGCCACAGAAGTTTGGCCGGGAATAATTACTCTATTGGGCTATCTGCAGGGTGGGGGTGGGTTCTTTATTTTTTACTCTGTTTGATGAGTTAAACCTTGGAGCGATGCACAGTGGAAAGCCTCGAGAGAGAGAGAGAGAGAGAGAGAGAGAGAGAGAGAGAGAGAGAGAGAGAGAGAGAGAGAGAGAGAGAGAGAGAGAGAGAGAGAGAGAGAGAGAGAGAGAGAGAGAGAGAGAGAGAGAGAGAGAGAGAGAGAGACTCGAGGGCTCCATCTCAATTCGTCAATTCCTTGTATCACATTTCCTCACCTCCTTCTCAACTACTGTATATTGTGTTTTGAGAAGGTGCGAGGAGAGAGAAGGCGAGAGAAGGCGAGCAATCGAGGAAAGATGAATTGAGAAAGAGCCAGGGTACTTCACTTGGCCCGCTCTCCCCTCTCCTCAGTCTTCCTTCCTACAAGGCTCTTTCCTCAATTATGCATCTCAAACACATCTGGGTCTGGACACGTTTCAGTTTTCCCCTCCCCACTCAGACCACTCCCAGACAGTCCTCGATTGCTGTTGTGAACGCACCCCTCAGTATTACTGGGGAGTAATGGGGGTGATGTGAGTGGAGTGTGAATCCTTACCCAAATAGGAACCAGTCGTAGGCGATTGTCAGATAGAGGATTTCAGCCGGCTCCAGGCTGGCATGGACGGCACCATCCTATTAAAAAATACATGAAAGAATTTCAACATGTCATTAAAAAACTCCACGCAAATTAGCCCCGAAAGGCGACACATGGCAGCATAGGCACTGGTATTGGCACTGGATTCCGAGAACTCACATACGAGCTAGCCTCTATCCTCTGCCAATGTTACATTTGTTATTCTGTTTGAAACGTATCCCATGCTTGATATATGTGCAGTGAAATTTGTCAAGCTGTGAGTACAGGCAAAAAAATACTGAGTTGAAATACTATTTGAAATGATTTCAAATACTTAAGCTGGGCTCAATTGAGCTTGCATTTTAAGGGAAACAATGGAACAATCCCATAACTGAAAAACCCGCCCACCTGACACATTGGGCAAGCAAAAGCAAACGCTCAAAGTATTTGAGGGCAGCAGGTAGCCTAGCGGTTAGAGAGCTGGGCCAGTAACCGAAGGGTCGCTGGTTCGAATACCCAAGCCAACAAGGTGAAAAATCTGTCTATGTGCCCTTGAGCAAAGCACGTAACCCTAATTTTAAGAGGACATGTCATTTTTAAGAGGGCATGTCATTTTAAGAGGACATGTCATTTTTAAGAGGGCATGTCATTTTAAGAGGGCATGTCATTTTTAAGAGGGCATGTCATTTTTATCCCGGAGTGCCAACAAGGGACTTTTCACAAATCCTCCTACAGTCACATGCAGGTAAGACGTTTTGATTTCTGTCAATTTGCCACTGCCTGCTGATTGTGAGGGAACATTTGTTTTGTGGTTCAGTTACGCTCGGGCAGCTATTGTTTACATATTAAGCAAAAGTTTACGTCGTGTGCGTCAGTAGATTGAAAATACACACAGGAAATACAAGCCCACAGAACCATATACCTACCAGCTCTCTAAAAAGTCAGGCAAACAATACTTTCCTGTGGATATTTTGTCAAAAATGTCAAGCGGCTGAAGGACAAACCACACAGACAATCGGTAGAGGGACTTTTTCAAATCCTCCTACATCAGAAAGAGCAGATTCGGAGGTTTCTAAAACCCTTACCATTGCCAAATAACTTAAAATTGAAGTGATGAGCTCCATTTCAACTGGCTTTTCTAGTGTTAGGTGGTGTGTCTTTAATCTTAATTCGATTTGCGTGTTAAGAGATAAATGGGAGGGGCATCGGGGGTGAAAGCAGATTAATTCATTGTGGGATTACTGAAAAATTAATTTAGAAGAAGTGCCTTTGGAATGTAATTACTAAACTGATACATGGGTGGCGGAGGAGTGTGTGTAAAGAGAGAGAGAGAGACCGAGAGAGATAAAACAGGGGGATAGGAATGAAAGTGAGAGATGAGAGAGAGAGAGAACACTTACTGCCCACAGCGAGAGCCGCAGGAGGGACACGAAAAGAGGCGTCCGGTCCCAACCGGATATGCAGTGCACCAGGAGACCGCTCTCATCTACAGGGGCAAATCGAATTACAACCAAATCACTGATTAATCAGGCTGTCATACATAATTAATTGGTATATACAGCCTGAAACATTGGGAGTGCAAAATCAGGTAAATGTTCTTTACAAGCTAGAATGTTGAATAAAATGACATTTGAAATTACTCTACTGGTTGTCTGTGCGGTTTGTCTTTCAGCCGCTTGAAATTTGAGACAAAATATCCACAGGAAATGATTGTTTACCTGACTTTTTACTGAGACATTAGGCTTGCCACAGCAAGCTGATTGCGAGGCAACGTTGGTTCTGTGGTTCGGTTACGCTTGGGCGGCTCGGCTATGGTTTACATATTGTGCTTCAGTAGATTGAAAATACACGCCGGAAATACAAGCCGACAGAACCATATACCTACTGTCTCTCTTAAAAGTCAGGTAAACAATACTTTCCTGTGGATATTTTGTCTCAAATTTCGAGCGGCTGAAAGACAAACCGCACAGACAACCAGTAGAGTAATTTCAAAGGCTGTATATAGCAATTAATTGTGTATTACAGCCTGATTAAATCAGACAACCAAATCACCAACACTTGAGAAACAAAGGATTGAACCAGGTTTTTATAGAGACTAGTTAGTGATGAGGATTTAAACAACACAATGGCTACATAAGCATCACAGGGACCCTCACTAGACGACCATATGAGATATGACTTAACCACTCTTTTTCTATGTTCATTTTCCTCCCTGACAGAAAGGAGAAATTGGTTACAGCCCCCAAGGAGCTTTAACCAACACACATACTGACCGTCGTTGTTGATGATGTGAAGCAATAGCTTCAGGTAGTTCTGGGTCTGATGGACCAGGTCCCAAGACTGAAACAAAAGGACAGAGAAGAACACGAGGACTTTCAACACGTTTTCACCGGGGAGCGCATTCAGCAGTGCACTAACGTTCAGATAGAAATATGTATTATATAGAACAAACATGCCTCTCTGTCATATGGAATAATGAATCACGTAAGCTCTATTCGTGACATTTCTATCTGCAACGTTTGCCTAGTGAACGTGGCCCTGGTATGGTGACTACATCTCTTATAACCTAAAATATGCATGAAAACACAAACTATGTCTTACAGCGTGGTTTTCTAACCTCTCCTCAGGGACCCCCAAACTAGTCACAATTTTGTTGTAGCCCTGAACTAGCTCACTTGAGTTACCTAATCAAGGGCGTGATAATTAGTTGACAAGCTGAATCAGGCGTGCTACCTCTGGAATAGTTCATATACATGAAATGGCTGGGGGTCCCTGAGGAGAGGTTTGACAACACCTGTCTTAGAGAACGTCGAGACTACATGAGAAATGAATGGTCGGCAACCATGCAGTTCCACGTCGAACCTACAGAGGTCACTGTGACACCAGTAATACCGTGGAATAATCTGAATCACGTTTCACTGAAGTAGTACATTTTACATTTTAATCATTTAGCAGACGCTCTTATCCAGAGCGACTTACAGGAGCAATTAGGGTTAAGTGCCTTGCTCAAGGGCACATCGACAGATTTTTCACCTAGTCGGCTCGGGGATTAGAACCAGCGACCTTTCGGTTACTGGCACAACGCTCTTAACCACTAAGCTACCTGCCGCCCATATTGTATACAGTAGATGTCTAAATTGGAAAGTAAGACATACCTGATATAGTGGCCTGGGTGGTCTAGCGGTTAGGGCCACTGCCTCCGACACACATTAACACGTGTTGGCATAAGTTCGAATCCAGCCTAGTGCCCTGTGATACATTCTCCTATCTGTCCTTTTCTCCCTATCTGTTCAACAAAACTGAGGAAATACTCAGAAGAAGAAAAAAGACAAACCTGATATTCACTCCAGTCTATATTCAAGTTCTTGGTAAAGCACGCAGGGATTGTCAAAGGCGCATCCACAAAATCCTGTCAACAATAAAAATGGTATGTTTAGAAATCTGAGAATCATTCACCTGGACTATTTTTTTTTTTTTTTCAACTTTATTTAACCAGGTAAGCCAGTTGAGAACAAGTTCTCATTTACAACTGCGACCTGGCCAAGATAAAGCAAAGCAGTGCGATAAAAACAACAACACCGAGTTACATATGGGGTAAAACAAAACATAAAGTCAAAAATACAACAAAAAATATATATACAGTGTGTGCAAATGTAGCAAGTTATGGAGGTAAGGCAATAAATAGGCTATAGTGCAAAATAATTACAATTAGTATTAACACTGGAGTGATAGATGTGCAAGAGATGATGTGCAAATAGAGATACTGGGGTGCAAATTAGCAAAATAAATAACAATATGGGGATGAGGTAGTTGGGTGGGCTAATTTCAGATGGGCTGTGTACAGGTGCAGTGATCGGTAAGGTGCTCTGACAACTGATGCTTAAAGTTAGTGAGGGAGATAAGAGTCTCCAGCTTCAGAGATTTTTGCAATTCGTTCCAGTCATTGGCAACAGAGAACTGGAAGGAATGACGGCCAAAGGAGGTGTTGGCTTTGGGGATGACCAGTGAGATATACCTGCTGGAGCGCATACTATGGGTGGGTGTTGCTATGGTGACCAATGAACTAAGATAAGGCAGGGATTTGCCTAGCAGTGATTTATAGATGGCCTGGAGCCAGTGGGATTGGCGACGAATATGTAGTGAGGACCAGCCAACAAGAGCGTACAGGTCACAGTGGTGGGTAGTATATGGGGCTTTGGAGACAAAACGGACGGCACTGTGATAGACTACATCCAATTTGCTGAGTAGAGTGTTGGAGGCTATTTTGTAAATGACATCGCCGAAGTCAAGGATCGGTAGGATAGTCAGTTTTACGAGGGCATGTTTGGCAGCATGAGTGAAGGAGGCTTTGTTGCGAAATAGGAAGCCGATTCTAGATTTAACTTTGGATTGGAGATTCTTAATGTGAGTCTGGAAGGAGAGTTTACAGTCTAACCAGACACCTAGGTATTTGTAGTTGTCCACATACTCTAGGTCAAACCCGTCGAGAGTAGTGATTCTAGTCGGGTGGGCGGGTGCCAGCAGCGTTCGATTGAAGAGCATGCATTTAGTTTTACTAGTGTTTAAGAGCAGTTGGAGGCTACTGAAGGAGTGTTGTATGGCATTGAAGCTTGTTTGGAGGTTTGTTAACACAGTGTCCAATGAAGGGCCAGATGTATACAAAATGGTGTCGTCTGCGTAGAGGTGGATCTGAGAGTCACCAGCAGCAAGAGCGACATCATTGATATACACGGAGAAAAGAGTCGGCCCAATAATTGAACCCTGATGAGCAGATGATACATCTCAACCTGAGATCAGAAGACCATAGGAATAGAATGACTAGAATGGGTGTGAGGGTGCAGTTAAATTGCCTAATTTTTTAGTGGCTTTTATGCCTTCTATTAATTATATTTCTATGTAGGAGACATGAATTGGCATACCTGATTCCAGTTGAATACTAGTCCCTCAGCGGTATAGTCTCTGTCTTTGTAGTCCTTAAAGAACTCACACCCTAGAAGCACAGAGAGAGGGGTCATGTGTCACGATATAACTGTATGCATTGAGAAAAGTACAGGTCCTCTAGCTATCCAGTCCTGGGTTCAAATACTGTTTGAAATCTTTCAAATACTTGTAGTATTTTAGCCTGCCTGGTGTGCCAGATCGGTGGAGTTTGCACCACCCATCTGGGGGTTTGCATCACCCATAGCAGCAGTCAAACTCAATCAACCCCAGCTTAAGTATTTCAAATTATTGCAAATAGTATTTGATCCCAGGTCTGTAGCCATCTCTCTGGGGAAGAATGTATATTAATAAGATGAAGAAATGCATTGTAAGGCATAGTTACTGTCATCTATGTAACACTAGATGTATTTATCAAGACTGTTGAAACCTGTTTTCCTAATAAAAAAGAGAATATTTTAACAAAGAACTGGAATATAAACGTAGGTTGGGGTTGAAAGAGTTGTCTTTACCTGGGTAAGGCACAGAGAGCAGGGTGAAGTCTGCATAGCGTTGGGCCTTATCCACCTTCTCAGACGAGGTGACACTGGACAGACGAGAAGAGAGGGGAAGACCAAATAGAACAGAAGAGGGGAGAAGAGAAAGAGAAATATTCAGTGAGTGACGAAACCCGTACTGTACATTCTTTCCCCCCGGTGTGTACACGTGACATGATTCCTGACTTAACGGTCAGTGACGCATGTACACACAGCTGCACACCCGGCGAACCATAGCAAGTATGTGAACACACAGACACACATGCCATGCACTCACACACATTAACATTACATAAATAAAGACACCTCCACACATGCAAAGGTCAACGTCCAAACAAGTGTACACTTTCTATTACATAACATAAAGTTACCAAAAGGCCAACATGAACAGGAGCCAATGACCCAGAACAGACCCCTCTGTGTGTGTGTGTATGGGAGGTGAATAAACGAAGAGTCCTGGCTGTGAGCTGAGACTTACTTAAGGCCAAACTTGACCTTCTTGTTCTCCACCATGAGGTCACAGATGTAGCGTACAGAGAGGTAGCGCAGCAGCTTGATGTCCAGACCCCGCACTTTGTCAAAGAGCTGAGAGTCCCCGTTCCTGTAGAGACGAGAGACAGATGGGATGGAGAGAAAGAGAAAGAGTGCAAAGAAGGTTTAAGACATCATCAAATAACCACAAAGATGTATGGGGCATTTTGAGCATTCAATCAGGCAAGGAAAACAAACGCACACACACACACACGTCATGGGATCATATCATCTCATGTGAAAAGACACCAACCTCGCACTGTCGTCCTCTGGAACCTCTGGCTCGGACTCTGCCCCCCACGTGTCATCAGTACCCCCTAGAGGGAGAGAGAGAAAGCGAATGAGAGAAAGAAAGGGAGGGAGAGGGAATGAGAGAACGAGAGATGCATCAATGAGGACACACTTCAGAAAGTGATACTTTTCTTATATGAGTTGAATTGGAGTGTTTGTAAGGTGTTTTAGACCTATTTCAGAATGAAAATGGGGCCCTACTGCACTACTGACAAAACACAATATGACTATCAAATACCAAACTAAGCCAAATGCATAAAAACTGTCTTAGGGAATCGACGACAGCCATTGCAAGTGGAAATATAGCAGCGATGTTTGATCGTGGAATAGAGTTCAGGTGTATAGAGAGAGGTGTGACAGATCAATTCGCAGGCATTACGCTCTTAAACTCTTGATCGTTGCTAGGCAGCGCCCGCCCGTTAACCGTCCTCCTGGCTAAACTTTGCGAGGCATATCACTTCGCCCATCTCTTCGGATAGCCCACCACTAAGCATGCACTGATGGCAAATGTGGTCAACTAGACGATAATGTGAGTATCATTTTGATTGGGACAGAGCCATCGTGTTGCTTTGAGACACACGTGGGGACTCATCTTGATCAATTTGTTTTCACTGAATCTCCGTTTGGATATTGGATAGGCTACAATTACGCTGGGGAAATGTTAGCTAAGATGAGGTGAGTGCTGCTAATGATCATTTTGTCTAGCTGACTCATTTATTACAACCTTTATTACAACCAGCATGTTATATGTAGTTTAACGAGTGGATTATTTTGCTCTTCACTTGCAGTTGCTTAGTAGCCTAGCCCAGGCTTACTTCGACCAAAAGCCTGTGGCTTCACTGATTTGTCTCAATCAATGTGATTTTGTTTCACTGACTCTCCATCTGTATAGGCTATTTGGTTAATTGGTTTCTGGCTGGGCAAATAAGTGGAGGTGGTATGGCTCATCTATCACAGATCAGAAACATTTAGCATGCAATAATGTAGCCTAAATCAAGTGTAGGCCTGTTGTTTTGCTCGATTGGGTATAGGCAACTCCAAAAGCCCGCGGAGGTTGTGAAATCTGAACACGAGACTCCCAATTTAACACCCTACGCCTGCTCCCTAACAAAGTGGAGTGAAGGTAGGAAAGAGATGAAACTTGGATTTTTTTTAAACACGGGCTTTGGCTCTGTTTAAAAATATCACTTTTTTTATATGACAGCGGCTCCACACGTTCATGTGACACCAGTTGTGTGGGAAAAATATTATTAGTATTTTATTCTGTTATATTCTTACTATAATATACTGTATATATGTGTTGACTGTGATTGGGACAGGTATGTTTTGTCTGTTTAATGAAATAATGAATTAGGATGTAATTCAACTCAAAATATGCTATTCTATTCTTTTATCAGTCATAATGTTTCTTAGGACCGGCCTGAACGAATGAATAATGGATTTAATTTTGGTGTATATTCAAAGGATTTATTCAAATAGATGCCCATCCACATCTACCACTCGTCACCGGCATGCCGGCATGCGCACGGGAGGTATAAAAGGCATATGCAGGCAAGAATGTGGTAAAAATGGAATCATATAAACATTGCCCAATTTTTTTAACAGGCAAAATAACATAAATCCTATGTGAAAGCAATATAAGAGAGGCTGGAAGCCAGCAGTACAGGGTCAACCGCAGTGCAGGCAGCGCCCCCTGGAGCAGGGGAGGAGGACGACGATGTTACAACTCAGGATGTAGACTGAGTCCTAAATGACATCCTATTCCCCAAATGGATATATTTCTGTACTTTCACCCCTTTCTCTCCCCAATTTCGTGATATCTAATTGGTAGTTTCAGTCGTCTCGTCGCTGCAACTCCCGTACAGACTCGGGAGAGGTGAAGGTCGAAAGCCACGCGTCCTCCGAAACACCACCCTGCCAAGCCGCACTGCTTCTTGACACACTGCTCGCTTAACCCGTAAGCCAGCCGCGCCAATGTGTCAGAGGAAACACCGTACAACTGGTGACCGTGTCAGCGTGCATGCGCCCGGCCCACCACAGGAGTCGCTAGAGCGCGATGGGACAAGGACATCCCGGCCGGCCAAACCCTCCCCTAACCCGGACGACGTTGGGCCAATTGTGCGCCACCTCATGGGTGTGGGATCGAACCCGGGTCTGTAGTGACGCCTCTAGCACTGCGATGCAGTGCCTTAGACCGCTGCGCCACTCGGGAGGCCCCCTATTCCCTATTTTTAATCGCATTTTAAAAACACAATCCACTTGCAGTGAAGCCGCTAAACTATCCAAGACCCCCCACAGTCCATCCCAAAACCTCCCCATCCATCCGCCCTCCCCAAATCCCCCCGAAGAGTGCTGATCTAGGATCAGGTTCCCGTGTCCATGTAATCTTATTAAATATAATCAAAAGGGGAAAACGGATCCTAGACCTACTCTGAGGCGCTTTGTGAATATGGCCCTGAACTAGATTCCCTTGCTAAAAAATTACTTTTTTTGTCAGTCTCACCGGAGAAGATGTAGTTGTAGCCGGTGCGTCCGTATAGCTCCCCCCAGCCTGCCAGAGTGGACGACCGACAAATATGCTGCAATGGAAGACAACACAGGATAAGTATTAGACACACACACATACTCCTCATCTCAATAGTCGACAAACCAGTCAATCAAGTCTCTCTTATTATTGTTTTTGACATGTTCACTTCCTTGCTCAAAAGGCAGGAAATATTTAAAACAATGCCCGACAGGTATTCAAAGAGAGAGGCCATATTTAAACGTTATGAACAGATGACAAACAGAAAGGGACCACACAGCAGCCCAGGCTAAAACAGTTCCAAACTAGAAAGGCAAAGTTTCAAGAAGCTTTTTCCCCTCCTTAATTACAAAGGGCAAACTCGGTCGTAATAACAAAGCAGTAACAGGCCTAGCTGTTAAAATAAGTGAAGTAAAGACAGTATTTAAACTCTATCTAAATTACTGCCTGAAAGTATTGCAGTAAAAAGCTATTAACTACAAATTACAGTTTTAAAAATGGAAGCGATCTCAGAAAGGAATGTGGAATGTGCCTAGCCGGCTAGAGCTGACTTGAGGGTCCTTTTCAAATACTCTTAAAATGCATCCTTCCTTCCTTGAAGTAATCACTGATCTGACATGACAGGATTAGGCTAGTGTTGGAAAGCATTCCACTGCATTGATTTCACTAATTCTGTCTTATCAGATCAGTGATTACATCAAGAAATGGAGGGAAAAGGGGTGCATTTGAAAAAGTATTCAAACCGGGCCGAGATTTCTTGAAAAATATATAAACATATAAATAAATATATCAAAATTGTACTTTGCCGTTGTAGAGGATGACTGGGCAGACGAACCTCCCTCGGCAGCGGGCCATCTTACTGCGGTTCACCAGGTCCTGCAGCTTGGTGATCTGGACTGTGCTCTCAAACCTGGGGACACACCAGCAATATATGGATCATCATATATAGATCAGCAATTTATCTTCATGGCTCTATTATAACAAAGCAATATATGGATCATGCTCCTCAATATAGCAACGGATACAGCCCTTAGCTGTGGTATATTGGCCGTATACCACAAACCCAGAGGTGCCTTATTGCTACTATGAACTCGTTATCATCATAATTAGAACAGTAAACAGTGCAGGCAGTGCCCCTGGAGCAGTTTAGGGGTGGGTGAATGGAGGACAAGGATGTTACAACTCAAGATATAGATTCCTAAACGGCATCCAATTCCTATTATTTCTTTACATTTTAAAAACACAATCCACTTGCAGTGAAGCCACTCAACTATCCCGGTTGGGCAAAAACGTTACGGGTGTTTTTATGAATGATTGAGTGTGTTTTCCCCAAATTGTGAATTTGCGTAGAGGGCAACTACGGAGCAGGGCACAGACACACATCCGGAAACATAATGCCTGAAGGGAGGGCATTCTCCCCATAAACATGTTATCTAGCCTGACGAGCACATTTTGGAACGTTGAGACATCTTCTTCACTGTGTGGATCTTATTAGTGTTGCGCTGCTCTGGTCATAGGTCAAAAGTACATATTCTATTTCCAAACACGTTCCAAAATAGAACATCCCCATAAATGTTTGCTGCTGATTCACACAATATATGCGACCTCAGACATGAAAATGGGCATATAACTTTAAACCCCCTCTGTGTCATGACTCAAGAAGATGTGGACTGGACTACATTAAACCCATTTCGTTTTTTTTGTCCAATAACAGGTCAGGGCCCATATTCACAAAGCATCTCAGAGTAGAAGGACTGATCTAGGATCAGCTTTGCTTTTTAGATCATCATGAATTGATTGGGCTATATGGACAGGGGGACCTGATCCTAGGGGCTTAGATCAGCACTCTTACTCTGAGACTCTGTGTGAATATGTGCCGTGGACTACAGTAGGCACAAATAAACAACAATGTAATTAGTTACTAAGTGCTTGCTTCCTCCATTGTTTTCAAAAAGGATCCATGGTCCCTCCCTTCGACCTCCTCCTCCAATGAGCTTTGAGAGGAGTTGAAGAAACAAGTACGGAAGAAGCAAGGATTGGACGTCTAGCAGGCCTAGTATTTTCTGACACAGCCTCAGTGATGACCTTGTTAAGGTAACGTAGGTAGTAGGCTAGGTACCTGTCTTTACGGAGCTCAGTGCTTTCACATTCCAGGAAGACTATATGCTGTGGGTAGTGGCCACACACCTCCCCGTTGGTGTTGTGGATGACGCTGTACTTGTAGTCTCGGCCGAAGAGTTCCAAGCAACGCTTCTCTATCGTCTCGACCTGTAAGGCACAAATATACCAAAGTGGTTATTGTTAGTCTGTTAGTCACATTTACCCCCGACAAATATGGAAAAACAGGACGTGTATCTAAATCATGTGGACACAACCAAGGAAAAGTCTATGTATGTTTTTTGTGCCATGTCCAACATTTGATTTCCATCCCCCATGGTGTCTGTCAAGATTGCAGTGACATTAATAAGAAACTGCATACATTAAAAAAAGGGCAATTTTTTAGATTTCCCACTGCTCGTTTGGTCATTTCAACTAATGACTTATGAAATATACCACATTTCTTTAAGAATATGAACCGATAAGCTTACTGTCCTATCATTACCCCATACCCATTACTTCATTGTATAGCCTATGTCTATGTTGCCAAAGGAGACTTTGTAAACCAACAATGTATAGGTCTAGCTTATCTCATGGAATGCTATTCCGTAAACAAGCGCTGTAACATGGACACACAATGCCTTCAGAAAGTATTCACACCCCTTGGTTTTTTACACATTTCGTTGTGTTACAGATGGAATTTAAAATGGATTAAATTGAAATTTTTGGTTACTGGCCTACACCCAATACCGCAATAATTTTCTTATTAATTATAAATGAAAAGCTTAAATATCTCGAGTCAATAAGTATTCAACCCCTTTGTTATGTCAAGCCCAAATCAGTTCAGGAGTAAAAATGTACTTAACAAGTCACATAATAACTTGTCTAGGGCTAACTCCAATTAGTCGACTGGTCGATTCTTTGGTCGATAGGCTGTTTGTCGACCAAGTTTTTTGTTGTTGTTGAGCAGAGACACCCGTTTTATTCGCGCCATCTCATCAAACTAATCCATTGCGGGGGCCGCGGGGGATGGCACAGTCCAAGAAGAAGGGGAGTGTGGCTAAGATGCACAATGCATGTCTCGCTCCAGAATGCGCTCTCTCCCGCCAATTTATGCACATTCATCGTTTCATAACTTCATTGTGTGAATTGTTTGTGTTTGATTGTTAGTGTCTATCAATTCCCCATTACATATATCACCAGTTGTACATTTACCGTTAATTCCTATAATTTCTAATATACAATATTTGTTTGGTTACGATAATTTCTGTTAATGCATTCAATTATTCTTCCAGTCTTTTACTGTTCTCATTGTCGGAGTGGACACGTTGTTTGCTGAGCGCACAACCTATGAGAAACGAGTTTTGGTGTATTTAATTCCATTTACAAGTTTTGTCAATTTAGTAATTGTCTTTTGTTTGGAGCGCTCCTGTCAATGTTGAGTAAGGATGCGCACCTGATTATGCATAGAAGTAGGCCTACAGGCTACCTGGCCTGCGCGCAAACGTAGGCATATAAATGTGACCCGTTTCAAGAAGCTAGGCATATGTCACAAGTCACTACTTCACAGGAGAGGCATATGTAAGTTTTATTTTAATTTTTATCCAAATGCGTTTTTTGGCAGAAATGCCTTCTGGAACATGTGAACTTTCATGTGCCTTAAACTTGTATTCCATCTGTATATATTAATAAAATTGTTAATTTATGAGCCTAGTTTGTTTAGCCACGGAAAAAGACAGGATGCTTCCCGCTAGCCATGATTGGCTGAGATAATGGATGGGCTGGACATGCTGAGAGATGAATTTGGATTTGTCTGCCACGTAGCACGCTTCTGTCTATAACATGAGCTGCTCAGTATGTGTAGATAATCCTTGCTACCGCTGCTTTTTTGAAAGGTATAACGTTAGCCATAGAGATCTGCAAAAGTGTTCCTACTGCTCTCAACAACATTGCTGCCCTAGAATTTAGCAGGCATTATCGACAAAGATCATTGGGAAAAAGTTGTGATGGACTATTTTTCTGCACAAGGTCAGTGTGAACTGGAGTGACTTGACACAACAAAAGGGCCAAACAAGCTGTAGCTAGCTACAAACCAAATTGAAAAGGCACGCTGCCGTGAAGAATTCATCCATTTATACAGGTAAGAGTCTAGCTACATTTTCAGATATTATACGTTTCTAATTTTGTCAGAAAGTCGTTTTCATTGCAAGTTAAAGCATACTGTTAGCTAGCTAGCGAACAATATCATAACCGTGTATGATCTGTGTAGTAATACTATTAGTTTCTCAGAAAACCATTTGCATTGCTAGTTATGGCCTAATGTTAGCTAGCTAGCTATAGCTACCTGCAGATTCATACTCCAGCATTTCATGCATAGTGCCTAGCTATGACAATCCGTTTGTACTGTAGCTATGGGTTGCGATTATGGTTCATTGTTTAGCTAGCTAGCTACATGTCTAAACAAAAGACTTCACTTCGCAAGAGAATGATTACATGACCCATCAAGTTAGGGGTGATTACGGCCATCTATTGTATTTCATGAACATGTGACCCATCCACTTAGCTAGATGTGGCTGGTGGGTGGTTATAGCATAAAGCATTTCATTCACATGACCCATATATTTAGACAAGTGTCTGTGTAAGCATCTAATAATTATAAAATATTTTTATCTGGACACTTTCAAAGTCAGATTAGGATATAGGCCAAGGACTAGATAAAGTGTATTTTTACCTCGAGTTTTTCCTTATTTTAAAGAGATGGGTGGGGCTAAGACTTACGAGGGTGTGAACGAGCTCTCCAGTAGGTGTACCAAAACATTCAAGGAACATTTTCTCAAAAGTGGGGATACAAGTTCATCAATTTTCAAAGGAGAATTACTTTCCCATTGTTCCTCAACTGAAGTGTATGATATACGATTTTGTAGCACTGATTTTGTAGCACTTTTATCCAAAGTAAAAAACACAATTTCAAATTTTGCTACATAAGACCGAATCAAATTTGAAATTTGGGGATCTGATAGTATTTCTGATTGGCTTAACGCACCACCACTAATGAGCTGTGGAGCTTCTCAAAGTAACATTTTCTTCCCCTCAAACAGAAAGCAAATGAAGTCTGTTTTTACATCCATTGAGAATGACAATAGTTCCTCAATGCATTTGAAAAGTATTTCCAGCTCTCACCCTTTCGATAACCACTCAGCGTGAAAGGGAAAAATGTCATGCTATGATCCAGTGGAAACGTCATAAAACAAGCCTACCTGATTACTTCTTATCCTTTGCGTAAATAGCCTACAGTTTTGTCTGTCCAGAGCTCACTGGCATGGGAAACTGAGGGCCCAGAATATTTTATACAATGTTGCAAGTTTCCTATTGCGCGCTTTGGGCCAGACAAAAGTGAATAGTTGATCTAATGTTTCAAGTTCATTGCAAACAGGCCATGTGTAGCCAATGTGATTTATAGGATATTTATTTTTAATCAGGATATTTTCTACCTGCAGGCTGCAATGTTTTTATTTGTAGGCTTTATAGGATATTTTTAAATAGTTGCCATTTTTACAATGGCAATAGAAGTTACTTTTTAGGTTTGTATCATTTTCATTTAGATAGAATTTTGATTAACCACATGACAATAATTTAAAGATACGAAGACGTTATTATAAATGAAATGAAACTGTTCCACAAAAATGTGCATATGAAAACCATAACCGGCACGCATATCGGTAGAAATTATAAGATAAATTGGCATTCCACATGAGAAAGGTTGCCGGCTCCTCGTGTAGCCTATTACTGGCAGCTTCAGGAGAGTAAAGGCAGAATCTGCGAAAGCCAGTACGAGCGGGAGGAGGATGGTCAGGTCAGGTTAAGGCTTTTTTCTTCTGGTTATCTTGATCTCTGGCTCCCTCTTGAGTCATTTGTGTCCTATTTCTTCAAACAGTGCACTTAACGCATCAGACAAGCTCAATGCATATATAGGGTGTGTCTATATATGGAAAAATACACTTAAAATTTAGACCAATCGACTGGTCGAAAGAACAGACAACTTTCGGTCTATCAATATTTTTTGGGGTCGGGGACAGCCCTAATGGACTCACTCTGTGTGTAATAAGTGTTTAACAGGTTGTTTGAGGGACTACCTCATCTCTGTACCCCACACATACAATTATCTGTAAGATCCCTCAGTCGAGCAGTGAATTTCAAACACAGATTCAACCACAAAGACCAGGGCGGTTTTCCAATGCATCGCAAAGAAGGGCACCTATTAATAGATGGGTAAACATTTTTAAAAAGCAGACAGTGAATATCCCTTTGAGCATGGTGAAGTTATTATTAATTCCACTTTGGATGGTGTATCAATACACCCAGTCACTACAAAGATACAGACGTCTTTCCTAACTCAGTTGCTGGAGAGGAAGGAAACTGCTCAGGGATTTCACCATGAGGCCAATGGTGACTATAAAACAGTTACATAGTTTAATGGCTGTGATAGGAGAAAACTGAAGATGGATCAACAACATTGTAGTTACTCCACAATAATAAACTAATTGACAGAGTGAAAAGAAGGAAGCCTGTACAGAATTTTTAAAAATATTGCAAAACATGGATCCTGTTTGCAACAAGGCACTAAAGTAATACTGCAAAAAATGTGGCAATGCAATTAACTTTTTGTCCTGAATACAAAGTGTTATGTTTGGAGCAAATCCAATTCAACACATTACTGATTACCATTCTCCATATTTTCAAGCATAGTGGTGGCTGCATCATGTTATGGGTATGCTTCAAATCAGTAAGGACTGGGGAAAAGAAACGGAATGGAGCTAAGCACAGTAAGGACTGGGGAAAATAAACGGAATGGAGCTAAGCACAGGTAAAATCCTATAGGAAAACCTGGTTCTGTCTGCTTTCCACCAGACACTGGGAGATGAATTCATCTTTCAGCAGGACAATATCCTAAAATACAAGGCCAAACATACACTGGAGTTGCTTACCAAGAAGACAGGGAATATTCCTGAGTGGCCAAGTTACAGTTTAGACTTAAATCTGCTTGAAAACCTATGGCAAGACTTGAAAATGGTTGTCTAGCAATGGTCAACAACCAATGACAGAGCTTGAATAATGGGCAAATGTTGTACAATCCAGGTGTGCAAAGCTCTTAGAGACTTACCCAGAAAGACTGACAGCTGTAATCGCTACCAAAGCTGATTCTAACATGTATTGACTCAGAGATGGGAATACATGTAAAGATTTCTAAAAACATGTTTTCACTTTGTCCTTTTGGGGTATTGAGTGTAGATGGGTGAGACATTTTTTAAAATATGTAATCCATTTTGAATTAAGGCTGTAACACCACAAAATGTGGAATAAGTCAAGGGGTATGAATACTTTCTTAAGGCACTGTATGCCTGTGTGGGAACACTGACCCTAACCCTATCAAGGTGTGTATCAATGTAATATTTGGTTATTATTAGTATTTCTTGCTGATATGAAACATAAGGTCCTTATGCTTCCAAAACCGTTACAGCAAGCGATACATGTTAATGTTCAGACCGAGCGTCAGGGATCTTAACAAAACTCCCTCCTACAGAAGACGCCTTCGTCAAATGACTTATGTGTAATGCAATGGAACGGAGAGTCATAATCGAGAGCTAATGGTACACCATCTCTGGCTATTATATGACATGCAGAAATCATGGTAATACAAAAATATGCATGTTGAGGACCTCTAACTTACCCGTCCGGAGACTTCTTTCGCTCTGTACTGTGTCTTCGAAAACAAATCTATCAAATCCGCTATTTCCTCGCTCTTTCTGCCTGATAACGTTAGTCCGGAGGCCGTTAGGCTCCCAGACACGGACGGGGATGCAGCCGTCATCGTGCCGCGACCCACCGTGGGTTCTATCCGAACTCGTCCGCCCTCAAACACCGCAGCACATTGGGAACGGGAAGATCCACCAGGCCATCCCTTCCCAGCCAGTTTCTTTCTGACTGCCCGCTTGAAGGGGCCGGAGCCGGGTATTCTCCCCGAATGCAGGGCAGCGCCGGGTTGGTACCCTCTATAAACAAGGACGTGTTAACCAGCCAGCAGACTAGTTAAGCCTTCCAGGCAAAACTGGCCAGGCAAGCTGGCTGTATCTAACGTGGCTAACTAAGCCTGTGGTGGATTTGTTGACTAACGTTAGCTATCTAGTTAGCTAATTTGAGAAAGTATCCACGTTCAAACTTTAATCCACCACATTACCAAAAGTTAGCTTTTAAAATGTAATGCAGACAATCATCCAGCTGACTGGTTTGTAGTCCTTGCCCTCATCACGCGTATGTTTAGTGTTGAGCCGTTTGTTGACAGAGGAATACTCCGAGCTCCAAACATTTAGTCCGGGCGCCTGACTCAGGAAATCTCAAGGACTCCCGGCCTAGTCACGTTTCCTCAATGTCACATCTTCATTTCCTCTCCGCAAAGATGACAAAAAATATGAACGTTTCCAAAACGATGAATTCCGTAGCTGCAGGGATTCAAATGCGTATTTGTTGTTCTTGATCAAAATCACACGACTTCAAGTGTTGAAATCCGTGAACTGTCTCAAGGAACAAGTGGTAAACAGGAAGTTGAAACCAGCACGTGACCACCATCGCCCCCTGAAAATCACCTAATGCAGTCTTCTACTTCAGTGGGGTTTATCGGTGGTTGGCATCCAACGTTATGGTGCATTACAGCCACCTACTTTACTGGAGTGTGGACCAGAGACGGGGAGAAACTAAATCCTATATCTATGACGTTCTACTCAATATACTCTTTAAACTAATTTCCTGCATCCCCTTCTCCCTCTTACTAGATCTCATCCTCTCTCTTTCCCTTTGATACTGCCCACACTGTAGCAATACATGCCCACGGTCTCTGTTTCCTGACAATAATCACACTTTCCTGTTGGATGCTTTCCTATCACATTTAATGTCTTATTCAACTGGCTGTGTCCCACCCATAATCTTGTAAAAATAGCCTCTTCTCTTCTGTCCCTTCCTGCCGTCCTCCCCTCCCCGACTTTCCTCTGTACTTGAAATAAATGCCTTCCCTTATTATCTCTATTCCACTGCTCCTGCCATCTCTGCACCATCACTGTATATATATCAGTCTTTTTGCCTCTGCCTTGCTCATTGAAACTTCAACATCAACATTACCACTACTAGAGTGAGGGAAAAAAGTATTTGATCCCCTCCTGATTTTGTACGTTTGCCCACTGACAAAGAAATGATCAGTCTATAATTTTAATGGTAGGTTTATTTGAACAGTGAGAGACAGAATAACAACAAAGAAATACAGAAAAACGCATGTCAAAAATGTTATAAATTGATTTGCATTTTAATGGGAATAAGTATTTGACCCCTCTGCAAAACATGACTTAGTACTTGGTGGCAAAACCCTTGTTGGCAATCACAGAGGTCAGACGTTTCTTGTAGTTGGCCACCAGGTTTGCACACATCTCAGGAGGGATTTTGTCACACTCCTCTTTGCAGATCTTCTCCAAGTCATTAAGGATTCGAGCCTGACTTTTGGCAACTCGAACCTTCAGCTCCCTCCACAGATTTTCTATGGGATTAAGGTCTGGAGACTGGCTAGGCCACTCCAGGACCTTAATATGCTTCTTCTTGAGCGACTCCTTTGTTGCTTTGGCCGTGTGTTTTGGGTCATTGTCATGCTGGAATACCCATCCACGACCCATTTTCAATGCCCTGGCTGAGGGAAGGAGGTTCTCACCCAAGATTTGACGGTACATGGCCCTGTCCATCATCCCTTTGATGCGGTGAAGTTGTCCTCTCCCCTTAGCAGAAAAACACCCCCAAAGCATAATGTTTCCACCTCCATGTTTGATGGTGGGGATGGTGTTCTTGGGGTCATAGGCAGCATTCCTCCTCCTCCAAACACGGCGAGTTGAGTTGATGCCAAAGAGCTCCATTTTGGTCTCATCTGACCACAACACTTTCACCCAGTTCTCCTCTGAATCATTCAGATGTTCATTGGCAAACTTCAGACGGGCATGTATATGTGCTTTCTTGAGCAGAGGGACCTTGCGGGCGCTGCAGGATTTCAGTCCTTCACGGCGTAGTGTGTTACCAATTGTTTTCTTGGTGACTATGGTCCCAGCTGACTTGAAATCATTGACAAGATCCTCCCGTGTAGTTCTGGGCTGATTCCTCACCGTTCTCATGATCATTGCAACTCCACGAGGTGAGATCTTGCATGGAGCCCCAGGCCGAGGGAGATTGAGAGTTATTTTGTGTTTCTTCCATTTGCGAATAATCGCACCAACTGTTGACACCTTCTTACCAATATGTTTTTCTGGTTTTTGTTGTTGTTATTCTGTCTCTCACTGTTCAAATAAACCTACCATTAAAATAGACTGATCATGTCTTTGTCAGTGGGCAAACGTACAAAATCAGCAGGGGGTCAAATACTTTTTTCCCTCACTGTAAGTGCTTGTTTACTGCCTTGTTCCCCTCCACCCCCACATGGGCTGGGACCCAAGTAAATCTTATCTGTATACCCATCTGTTTAATCCTGCCATGTTTTTGTAGCACCTCATAAAGCAGGTCTTGTCTGCTACGTGAGCTAAAGGACTGGAGACTCATTAACACTGCACATGAATCAGAGCAAATAACTTCTCTGTCTTTTTTTACTTCCTCCACCCACTGCAAGGCCAACAGTATGGCCATCAGCTCCGTCGTATATACAGCCAGATGATCTGTAATACGTTTTGTGACTTCCACCCCACATTCCTGCACTACAAATGCTGACCCAGTATGTCCTGTCCTTGGATCTTTTGAACCATCTGTGTAAATGGCCACAAAATCCTGATACACAGTATCCAGACGTCTCTTAAACAAATCAGATGGATCAACACCCTCCCTATCTTTCTGTAGTCTCTCCAACACTTCTACATCAACTACTGGAGGCGGGAGTAGCCATGGTGGATTTACAGGAATCCGTTGGACTGAACTCCCTTCCATACAGTCCCATCTCCTTTGCCTGGGTATTACCCACACACCCAAAGCTCGTGTTCTGTCTTCGCTCATGTTCCCAGAATGCCTTTAAAATCCCTTTCGCAGGATGAGACACCCCATGTCCTTGTAGGTTGACCCAATAATTCATTGCCAGCTGCTGTCTCCTAATCTGCAATGGCATATCCCCCATCTCCACCTGTAATGCAGCCACTGGGGACGTCCGAAACGCCCCACTACATATTCTGAGTCCTTGCCCCTGTATGACATCTAGCCTTTCCAGTGAGGTCCGGGCTGCCGAACCATACGCTATACTGCCATAGTCTATTACAGATCGGATCAATGCAACATACATGGTCTTCAATGAGGAACGCCCAGCCCCCCACTCCTTCCCCGTCAGACAGCGCATCACATTTAGCACCTTCTTACACTTTCCCACCACTCCCTCAATGTGTTCTGCCCAGGTCAGTCTAGTGTCAAAGTATACCCCAAGGAACCTGAAGGCCCTCACCCTCTCCAAGTTTCGCCCATATAACCTCAAGCATACCTCATCTCCCACCTTCCTCCTGGTAAAGAACACGGTTTGAGTTTTCTCTACAGAGAACCTGAATCCCCACATTAATGCCCACCGCTCTACCTCATCAATTACTTCATGTACCTTCCTGACTATGTATGGCACATTTCTTCCCCTCTTCCATAAGGCCCCATCATCTGCAAATAACGACCTCCCAATATCCGGCTGTACCCGAGAGTAAACATCATTGATCATGATTGAGAACAACAGAGGACTAATCACGCTCCCCTGCGGTGAACCGTTATCCACCAGGTAGCTGCCTGATAAAGACTTCCCCACTCTCACCTGGATAGACCTTCCAAACAGGAAATCCTTTATCTAGTTGTACGTTCTTCCTCCTACCCCCATAATATCAAGCTTGATTAACAACCCCTCCTTCCACATCATATCATACGCCTTCTCCACATCAAAAAAGACAGCTACAACAGTCTCCTTGTTCACCTGAGCCTTCCTGACCTCTGCTTCTAAGCAGAGCACTGGATCCATAGTTCCCCTAACCTTCCTGAACCCACTCTGATGTGGCGATACTAGCCCCCTGCTCTCCAGGAAGTAAGTTATCATACGTTCCATAATCGTACATATATGTGATGTTAAAGCTATTGGCCGATAGCTTGTTGGCCTCGTTGGATCCTTCTCGGGCTTCCGGATTGGTACCACTACTGCCTCCTTCCAACCGCCTGGTAGTTTCCCCTCCTCCCACACTCTGTTGTACGACACCAATACCTTATCCAGTGCCTCATCACTAAGATGGGCCAACATAACATAGCACACCTCATCTTTCCCAGGTGAAGTTAACCCAGCCTTATCTATTGCTCTTTTCTCCTCTGCCATGGTATATGGTGCATTCAACACATCATTTACATCCTCCCTCCTATCCAGCACTCCAGGATGCTCCTCTCTCGTGCTCTCTCTCCCCCTCTGCCCCTCCTCTGACAAATTTGCGGAGCTATGCATTTGGATAAATGCTTTGGCCAGCATCTCTGCCTTCTCCTCATCTGTTACTGCCACATCCTCCCCACTCGTCAACACTGGATAATCCCACTCCCTTCTGACCCCACTCACCCCCCACACTTCTCCCACAGGTGTCGCCCTTCCAATGGTGTCACAGAACCGATGCCAGCATGACCTCTTTGCCTGACGGATAGTTCTCCTCACCAGGGCCTGGGCCTGCTTATACTGAATCAGATGTTGGAAGTTATGCGTCCTTTTCAGTACTCTAAATGCCCTGTTCCTACTCCTCACCATTGCCCCACATTCCTCTGTCCACCATGGGACTGCTTTCCTCCTCCTCCTCCCTGAACTCTTAGGTATAGCCTCAGTAGCTGCCCCCACTAACGCTGTTCTCACCCAGTCATTCATACTATCCACATCCCCTCTCATATCCACCCAAGCCATCACCTGCTCACTCAGCTCCTGAAACTGATCCCACTTTGCCCTTCCAAACACCCACCTGCCTACTCCATCAATTGACACCTCCTCCTCCCTCCGGCCTACTGTGCATACAATGGGGTAATGATCACTCCCTACTATCGACTCCTCCCACACCTCCCACTCACAGATTCCTGCCATCGCACTAGATACCAGAGTGAGGTCCAAGGCAGACTCTTTCCCTGTGGCTACATCAATCCTGGTCCCTCGGCCATCATTCAGGCACACCAGATCTTTATTTTCTATCAAATGTTCCATCACTTGGCCATTTCCATCCATCCGTTCCCCCCCACCCAAAGTGTGTTGTGGGCATTAAAATCCCCACACCACATTACCTTACTTCTATCCTGGCCCTACACTCTCTCCAGCACCACTAGCACCACTAGCACCCCTCCTCTCAGCCACACCTCCACCACCACATATTCCTGTTCAATACCTTTGCCTATCATCTTGTAGGGAATTCCTTGCTTTATGAAGGTGGCACATCCCCCTCCTCCCTCTACATCTCTGTCCCTACGAACCACTACATATACCTGTATGATAAACTCCACAGTCGGTTTGAGCCATGTTTCCTGCATACAAATCACATCAGGCATGGCTAGCATATCTACAAAGAACTGCTTGAACAGCTGCCCAT